CAACATTAACCGGTTTAGTCTTTGAATTTGAACGACCAGCAGGTCCCTTACATGTCTTGGGGTAATGATCAGTCTCACCACACTTGGAACATTAAACTGTGTAAGTCTTTCTAAGCTTCTTATTAGTCTTCATAAGCTCTTCAGTGGGATCCTTCTTGCGATGCTTTTTTGGATGTCCAATAGGCCATTTCAAGCGTGGAGGAAGTGGTTTTGGGGCATCACAAGCATGCCAATACTGTTGGGAATTGACTGGGTTGAGTGTGTGTTCATAAGTGGCATGCAAAGCATCCACTGTCAGCCATTGGTGAACATGATTTTCTACAGGTTCATTCTTTGTGCAATGGCAGCAATAGCATGTTCACATGGCAATCCAATCAGCTGCCAAACATCACAACTACAAGATTGTTGAGTTAAATTCACCCCAACACGTTGACCTTTTCCAGAGACTTCATACACATCTTGGACCAAGTTTCCAGTCCATGTTGGTGTCCAAGAATTGCTTGCAACCTTCAACTGGTCCAGCCTCTTCTGCTGTGCAGGTGCAATCTTGCCCCTAAATGTTTGCAGAATCCTCTTGTGTGCTGCCATCCTTCGCATTATGTAACACCTCAATTCCTCACATAAAGTCATTATAGGTTTGGACCTATAATTCACCATCTTTGAATTCCACACCTCAGCCATGTTATTTGTAATATTGTCACATTTAGGCCAGTGATTGTAGTATGCCTTAACCCAACAAGAAGGATATATGTTGTCAAGATACTTCCAAGCTGGTTCGCTCACCTTCTCAAATTAGGGAACAATGGTGCATCTAGCACATTCCCACATAATTCCTCTTGTCTCTTTATCCTTCCATTGCTTGATGAAGTTCTTCCAGACATGTGTGACACAGAACCTGTGATGTAAACCTAGCATAATTTCCTTCAAAGCTGGGACAAGTCCCTGTATGCGAATATGAAACAGATTGTTATAATACAATCCGGACACAACAATTTCAAATAAATAAATGAATTCATAAGCCATAAAGTGATACCTTTTGTTGATCTGATATGAAGTTCCAACCATAAACCCCTTGATCCCCTAAGTCTTCCTGTAATAAGGTAAAAAACCACTTCCAATTATCCTTTGTCTCATTATCAACCACGGTATAGGCAATCACATAAAATTGCTTGTTTGCATCCTCACCCACAACACTCAATAATTGACCCCCATAGTAGCCCTTCAAAAAGCAATCGTCCAACCCAATTAAAGGCCTGCAACTAGCTTTGAAGCCCTTCTTACAAGCACCAAGGCAAATGTACATTCTGTCAAATATTGGCAGTGCTTGTGGAATAGGTTGAGGGGTCACTTGCATTGTGCAAGTGGATCCAGGGTTGCTCCTTAATAGCTCTGCAAGATATTCCCTTAGTCCTCCATATTGTTCCTTCTCACAACCTTCAATGGTTCCTTTTGCTTTTTTCAAAGCCTTGCTTACTTTCTTTAGATTCAAGTGAACATTGTATTTCTCCTTCATGTGCTCAAATGCCTCTGACTTGGACATATTGGGCTGTGACAATATCCTCTTCTCTAATTTCTTGGCCACCCAATCTCGAGTAGCCCTTTTATTTTGGAAGACTCTGCAACATGTATGAGTCTCATTACATGTTTTTATTTGGAATGTGCTTAGCTTGGTGTTCCCAGCGTAATACACCATCCATTCACAGTCTTCAATGCAGAAAAATGTTTTTGAAGAATGTTTAAAGTGCAGAAAATTAAAACGTTCAATCTAAAAGTTAATTAGTTACTTTTAATGTTGAAGAATTCGATCCCCGACAACGAAGCCAAAAACTTGTTGCGACTTGGCAAGTGCAGCGGTCGTAAAGTAATAAAGTGTACCGGAGTACGAGATCGTTCCCATGAGGATCAGAATCTTCAAGCACTAGTTCGCTAATTGCGTTTTAGTTGGAAAATCAAAAATTTAGATGAAGAGAGTTGTAATTGAAGAACTTGAAAATTAAAGAAAAGTAATAGCATTCAATCAAAGAAAATTCAAAATTAAAAAGAATGAATGAAAAGATAATGATCGATTAAAGAATTTAAAAACAAGCATAGTTAAGGTTTCTACTTCCCCCAATATCCTCAATAAGTTATGAATCAAACAGTCAAGAATCTGTTTCTTAATATATTGCTAATCAATTCTTTCTAAGTTAATTATGGCTCAATTCCTTGTTACCCTAAATCTAAGTGATCTTGAAAGAACTCTAGTTCCCCGATTATTCCCCAAGAAAACATGCATTAAGATCAAGAATTTCAAGATTGCATAATTACCCTATGTCTATCCCTAGATCACAAGGATTATGATAAATTATCAAGTCAGGGTTCATGCACCAACATCCCTATTGTCATACAATTCCCCAAAATCATTCTATAAGGAACAAACTCATAGAAAGCAATAAATACAGATAATTTATTCAATTATAAAAAGAACAGGATTCAGAGACAATTTAATTCATAAACATAAAGATTTAATTAAGTTCCATATATCCCTAACTACATAAAAGACTACTCTAGCATACTGAATTGAAAAACAACAATAAATAAAAAAGAACCCCAAGCCTCCATTGGTGTGATGTTGACTTGGTTCCTCAGTGTTCCAGCGCTCCGCAATAGGATTCCTCCTTCAGTCTTGGTGTAATGCTCTGGACTTGTGAATTCTTGGGTGCTTGAGAGTGCTGTTGTGCGCTTGAGTGCCCTGATGTGCCCAGTTTGGCTGTTTTTCCTGCTTCCAAATGCTTGAGCGTCCTTGTGTGCGCTTGAGCGTGCTATTCTGGTCCTTAACTTGTAAGATTTTGGCTTCCCTTGGTCCATATTGAGCCGCTACTTCTTCGTCATGATATCTTTAGCACTTTTAGCACCATTTCTTGTGATTTTACCTTCAAAACGCAAATATTATCAAAACGTCAGCTCAATTTCCTATCTTATGCTTTATATGTTGTAAAACCTTGAATTTCATGTATTCTACTACATAACTCTTGTATAATTTAGCCTAAAAACATGGTAAACCAAAGGTTCATCAAACATTCCCAGATTTGAATATTGCTGTCCTCAACAATCAATCAAAATAAAACTAAGGGATTAGGGAGTAGGAATCTCAAAAGCATGGAATTTGACAGGAAGGATTCATCAGAGACATGATTACAGAGCATTCAGACTCTAGAAATTAATGCATCAATCAACAAGATTCATAATTCATCAGTTAAAAGCTGTAACAAAATTTCATAAGATCAAGAATAAAGAGAATTTACTGAAACACTCCTTCACTAGGAATTCATTTCATTCACACTCAACTGTTTAGAGGGTTGGTGTTTCACTCGTTTCCCACTGAATCAACACTACCATAGGCTTGATTATATTCTCGCTCTCTATAGTATTGTGACATATCTCATAGATCAAGAGGTTTCTCTTAGGGTTATAACTTGGCCTGGCTAAAGGAAGGAAAATTTTGAGAAGGAGCTGCAAGATTAAAATTCAGATTTCTAAGAGGAACTTATGCACTTGTTTACTTTTTGTAAACACTTTCTTTCTTCTTTTCGGTCTATTCTTTTTCTTTTTCTTTTGAACTTTCTCTTGTTTGTCGTTCTCTTCCTCAGAACAATTTTTCTTTCTTTCTTTCTTTCTTTTCACTTTGCTTCCTGAGGATTTTTTCCTTTTCTTTATTTCTTTCTTTCTCATTCCACTCAACCTTACTTCCTTGACTTTTGCCTTTTTCCCTGTTCTTTCACAATTTATATCATTAACAACTAACATTTTTTCTCAATTTAATCTGAAATTTCAATCTCAATTAAGGTGAGGAGAGTATGTGGAAAGTGGCTTAATCATCTTTATGGGTTTTCAAAGAATAAACAGGTCTAGGCTCAAAGGGGTTAAACTAAGGAATATCAGCAAGAGTTGGCTATTTGGCCATCTAGTTTAAAGGAAGAACATGCCCCAATCATATCTATAAAATATATCACATACTAATTCAAGCAAGAAACAAAGCAAGTTCTAGAGTCTTTCATACAGTGGGATGCACACTCAATAAAATTTTTCTGTATAGGCTCAAAACCTCACGACTATGAATGCACAGTAATTCCCCTATTTTTTATCTTAAAAAAAATTCATCACTAAAGAGAGAATATTGAATGAATCATGAAAATCATTACATTGATGCTCATTATGAAAATATTCAAATAAGTGCATCATCATGCTCTGAATCAATTATTGATAAAAAATTTCCACCATTTTTCCATTTAAAAGCACCGAGAAAAGTTTAAAATTTTCACAAAAATAGTGGCTTGGGGTTTTTCAAAACAAACTAAATATTAAAAAATCAATTCAAAAAGAATTAAGCTAAAGAAAAGGAGAAAAGATTTGAGATAGTTCCCTGTTTTAGCCGGATGTTCTGTGTATGCTCATGAAGTTCCTCCAGCTTACTCAATTGTGCTTAGATAAATTGCGCGTTCCCCATTCCCAGATTTAAATGTTGCTGTCCTCAGCAACAAATTTAAATCTAAAAAGAAAATGCGTTAAGAAATAAAAACAACCAGTCGCTCTCTTGTTGTTTGTTCTATTTTCTTCACCTGTAAAATTCACTTAATGATAGCAATTAGTCTCAACACCTTCTCCTATCTTTTTGTATTTTTCTTAATTGAAAATTTTTTAATTAAAACTAAAAATAGTAAAATGGTGGGTTGCCTCCCCTTAACTCTCTTTTTACGTCACGAGCCTGACGTACCTGATCTACTTCATGGTGGCTCAAAGCATGATCTTGGTGATGACCAAGCTCCATCATTCAGAAATTATGTCCTACCATAATGCTCTTATGCATATGGATGAGGTAAAGTAGTCTCAGGACTTTTGAATTTGGTATTTATATGCTTTCCCTTGCTCCTCGGCTTTTCCATCTTAACTTTTGGCTTAATTTCTTGAGAAGACTCCTCATTGTGTTTTTCTTCACCTTTCTTTTCACTAATAAAGTAGACTTAATCTTCCGGTTGAGCTACGGATGAGGGGACTTCTTTGTCAAAGAACTTGAAAGTTGCCTGCTCTCCGTCTACCCGTAATATCAGCTCGCCCTTAAGTACATCAATTAGTGCTCCTGAAGTTGCCAAGAAGGGTCTTCCGAAGATCATTGGAATTGTGGCATCTTCCTCAATTTCAAGGATGAAAAAATCAACAGGAATGAAGAACTTGTCAACCTTAACCAATATATCTTCAATGATGCCATAAGCTTGCTTTGAAGAACGGTCAGCTAGTTGCACTATCGTCTTTGTAGGCTTCACTTCAGTAATCCCCAGCTTCTTCATCATGGAGAGTGGCATGACATTGATGCTAGCTCCAAGATCATATAAAACATTGTCCACTTCCACTTTGCCTATAATGCATGGAATGCTGAAGCTCCCTGGATCCTTGACTTTGATAGGTAACTTCTTTTGGATGATAGCATTACATTCCTCCGTCAGATTCACCGTCTCACATTCCTGCAACTTACGCTTCCTTGATAATAGATCATTCATGAACCTTGCATAGTTGGGCATGTTCTCTAAGGCTTCAGCAAAAGGAATGTTGATCTGCAACCTCCTGAATATGTCTAGAAACTGTGAATACTGCTGCTTCTGAATCTCTTTCTTTAATCTCTGAGGATAAGGGATTCAAGCATATGGGGAGAGATCCAATGGCTTGTTCTGTCTTTCTAGAGTTTTCTTCTTCTCCTACTTGAATAGTTTCTTTTCAGCTTTTTCAGGATTGCTTTTGTCAACTTCAATTGTATCATGTTCCTTTTCTTCCTTCTCTTCTTCAACTGATGCTTCTCCATCCTTCTTCTTTTCTTCGGGCTGCTCCTCTATAGGATGAATCACTGTCCCACTCCTAGTGGCGATAGCATTGCAATGCTCCCTTGGATTGACAACTGTGTTGCTTGGAAAAGTACCCGGAGCTCTCTCGGAAAATTGCTTCGACAACTGGCCAATCTGAATTTCCAAATTTCTTATGGAAGCTTCTTGATTTCATGAAAGCAGATGTGTCCTCTCTGAAAGCATTTGCACCTTGAATATAATTAGAAGTGGTCTTGCATAGTTGTGCAAAAGCTTTCTCTCACTCAGAAGTGTCACTTTGTTGTGGGGCATGTGGTTGCACTGGAAGGGGAAGATTGAGCTGATGGTTGGATTTATGACTCAACCCTGGATGTTGATTCTGATCCTTCCACCATTGATTGTAGTCATTCCCATACTGGTTCCTCCCTAGATCATTCTGGTTCTTCTGATCATACCAGAGTCCGTTTACTTCAGCAGTTTCAGGTGCTCTCATGAAGTCGCAGTCTTCAGTAGCATGAGCTTCTGCACAAATACCACATTAAATATTAGAATTATTAACAGAAGAAACTTGAGAAAGATTAAATTTTTTATTAAGAGCATCTAATTGTTCTTGTTGTTTCTTGTGCATTTGTAGCATTTGTTCATTTTGGACTAAGAGTGCATCATAGCCTTCAAGCTTCATAATTCCTGCTCTTCTTGGTGCAACTGGGACAGGGGCATTGTCACATTCTTGAGACGCTAAGGATTCCAACAATTCTAGTGCTTCCTCTGGAGTTTTTATTTTCAAGGAGCCCCCTGCAGCAACATTTACCAGTGTTCTTGTGTTGGGTGTCATTCCTTGGAAAAAGATTCTTGCTTTCTCCCATGCTTCAATTCCATGTTGAGGACACTTCCTGAGTAATCTTTTGAATTGTTCCCAAGCCTCGTACAGAGATTCGCTTTCTTTTTGTTCAAAAGAGGTGATTTCCGCTTTGAGTCTTGCCATCTTTGAAACTGAGAAAAATCTGGCCAGGAATTTTCTTGCTAAGTCATCCCAACTAGTTATGCTTCCTTCAGGTTGAGACTGCAGCCAAGCTCTTGCATCATCCTTCAATGAGCATGGAAATAATCTGAGCAAGATAGCGTCACGAGAAACTCCATTCACTTTTAATGTGTCACAGTAAAGTAAGAAATCTTCAAGATGACTATAGGGGTTCTCTGCGCTTCCTCCAGCAAACTGATCTTTTTGAATCAGTTGCAACAATGCCGACTTTAGCTCGAAGTTGTTAGCTTCTATGGTCGGTCTAACAATGCTCGCTGTCTGTGGAACTCGGGCCGGAGTCATATAATCTCCTAAGGTCCTTGGAGCGAGTTGATTGTTTTCTGCCATCGGTTCCTCCTTAGATTCCGTTGAACTTGAGGTTTCTTTTGCTTCCTTTGCTTTCTTTGCCTTTGCGTCCTTTCTAAGTTTCCTTTCGATCTTTTCTATCTCAGGATCAAACTTGCAAGATTTGCGGGTTAAGAGTACCTCGCATAAACTAAGATTGAAAAAATGTGCAGAAAATTAAAAACAGGAAAATAAAAATAAAAATAAACAAAGAATGCAGAAAATTTAAATATGCAGAAAATTGATGCAGAATTTTTAATGCAGAAAAATGTTTTTGAAGAATGTTTAAAGTACAGAAAATTAAAATGTCCAATCTAAAAGTTAATTAGTTACTTCTAATGTTGAAGAATTCGAACCCCGGCAACGGCGCCAAAAACTTGTTGCGACTCGGCAAGTGCACTGGTCGTAAAGTAATAAAGTGTACCGGAGTACGAGATCGTTCCCACGAGGATCATAATCTTCAAGCACTAGTTCGCTAATTGCGTTTTAGTTGGACAATCAAGAATTTAGATGAAGAGAGTTGTAATTGAAGAACTTGAAAATTAAAGAAAAGTAATAGCATTCAATCAAAGAAAATTCAGAATTAAAAAGAATGAATGAAAAGATAATGATTGATTAAAGAATTTAAAAACAAGCGTAGTTACGGTTTCGACTTCCTCCAACATCCTCAATATGTTATGAATTGAACAGTCAAGAATCCGTTTCTTAATATATTGCCAATCAATTCTTTATAAGTTAATTAGGGCTCAATTCCTTGTTACCCTAAATCTACGTGATCTTGAAAGAACTCTAGTTTCCCGATTATTCCCCAAGAAAACATGCATTAAGATCAAGAATTTCAAGATTGCATAATTACTCTATGTCTATCCCTAGATCACAAGGATTATGATAAATTATCAAGTCAGGGTTCATGCACCAGCATCCCTATTGTCATACAATTCCCCAAAATCATTCTATAAGGAACAAACTCATAGAAAGCAATAAATATAGATAATTTATTCAATTATAAAAAGAACAGGATTCAGAGATAATTTAATTCATAAACATAAAGATTCAATTGGGTTCCATCTATCCCTAACTACATAAAAGACTACTCTAGCATACTGAATTGAAAAACAACAATAAATAAAAGAGAACCCCAAGCCTCCATTGGTGTGATGTTGACTTGGTTCCTCAGTGTTCCAGCGCTCTGCAACAGGATTCCTCCTTCAGTCTTGGTGTAATGCTCTGGACTTGTGAATTCTTGGGCGCTTGAGCGTGCTGTTGTGCGCTTGAGCGCCCTGATGTGCCCAGTTTGGCTTTTTTTCCTGCTTCCAAACGCTCGAGCGTCCTTGTGTGCGCTTGAGCGTGCTATTCTGGTCCTTAACTTGTAAGATTTTGGCTTCCCTTGGTCCATATTGAGCCGCTACTTCTTCGTCATGATTTCTTTAACACTTTTAGCACCATTTCTTGTGGTTTTACCTTCAATACGCAAATATTATCAAAACGTCAGCTCAATTTCCTATCTTATGCTTTATATGTCGTAAAACCTTGAATTTCATGCATTCTACTACACAACTTTTGTATAATGGGATATGATATTATGACACTCAAGTTATGTTACACCCATATGACACCCAGTCAATCTCACCGTTAGATCGCTTATGTTGATCCAACAGTTATATTTATTTCCATCTTTGTATGGTCATGATTTCCCAAATTTAATATTTTATATTTATTTCTACCTTTGTATGGTTATGATTTCTCATATTTAATGCTTTCACTTTAAATTTGGGAAATCATGACCATACAAAGATGGAAATAAATATAACCGTTGGATCAACATAAGCGATCTAACGGTGAGATTGACTGGGTGTCACATGGATGTAACATAACTTGCGTGTCACAATATCCTATCCCTTGTATAATTTAGCCTAAAAATATGGTAAACCAAAGATTTATCAACGTGTGATCCAGCTATATATGTACCATCATGTGTACCCAAAAATAATAATTGTCTCTATAACATTATATAATAATTGTTATGCAACATAATACTTGTTTTTCTCATAAATGTAACACTAAACAAGTCCAACAAAAAAAAGGAGGATGAAATCATGACCTCTACACAAAGAAACTTTAAGGGAGAAAAATAAGTGATTTTAGAGAAAATTTACAGGATACTCCTTCACAAAAATTCTAAAGGAGTGAAATAATATAGTTTATTTTGAAAATGTTATTTGTATCGGTTAGATGTATAAAAATTTACGTTTATACTAATTAATTTTGAAAAAATAATTTTTTTTAACAAGTTAACAATTTTGAAAGGACATACTTATTAATATGTTGATAATTTCAAAAACTAACTTCCATAAATAAATTTTTTTAATTAAGGATTAAAATAATACAAATAACACATTTTTAAATTAAACATTATATTGTTAATAAATGTGTTAAAAATTAATAAGGAAGTTAAAGTATAAATTTTATTTTATATTTATTACAACTTTTAAATTCGGCAATGGAATGTTGTGACTTGTGAAGATGAAACCACATAATACACGGCCTCAAACGTCCGGATGATTAAACAAGAATGAAATGTTACGAAGGTAAATATGAATGCAGTGAATAAATAATTAATAATTAAATTTGGGAGGAGAAAAAGTCAGGCATTGATAAAGATCAAGGTAAATGAGTTTATGTTTGGAGAAGTATATATTGAAACTTACATCAATATAATGTACATTCAATCTTAAATTCATTATTATATGGTTCAAAAAATTAAATAAAAAAAGAAAAATGATTAGAAAAAGACTTGTTTCCAAGTCAATATACCATATTATTTTGATCACGGTTTCCATTGTAAAATGGTTATATCAACTCATATAATGTTTGGGAGGTAAATAAAATGACTTCAGCATTGGCATGATTCATATAGTAATCAAATAAATACTAATTAAAAAAGTATTAAAATAAAAAGAATAGTAAAATATACTTACGTGATTCCTAGGTTAAAAAATTAATAATTATAAAACTAACAGTGAATAAACATGTCACAATTTAGACTAACTATAACTAGGATAGATACCGATAGCATAATACAACTCCCATGTTGTGTTCAAGTTAGATACATCAATTTACATTAGGTCAAGTCATCCTATCCAAAAAACAAAATACAAGTCAAATAGTTAATAATTTTTTTTTTATATATAAAAATTGATGTCGGTAGGCCAAATAATTGTAAATATTTTTGAATAATTAGATGCAATCAACTTGTAGTAAATTCACCATGAATTGGGTATCGTGAGAAAATTGCACAAGTAGGAAAACAAAAGTTGGAATTTCCACAATTTTCCAATGTCAAATAGGTTGAAATTTCTTGATGGAAAAAACTTAAGTCGCATCACTTCATATTTTTTTTTTAAAAAATAATTAATCTAACACTCCAAATATAAAATACTTATTTAGAAAGGATTGTTTTATCAAAATATATTGATATTGTTATTAACTTATAAATAAAAGATTCTTATTAATTTAAAAGTATTATACTATTAAAAACATAAAATAAGATCGTATAATTAGGGACGTTAACGAGCCGAGCCGAGCCGAACTTTGGTCTTAACGGGTCGAGCCTGTGTTCAAATGTGTCAGACTGGCCTTAGCCTGTTACCTGTTACGAATATAATATCAGCCTGTGGCCTGACTCATTTACAAAAAATAAAAGCCTTGTTTAGTCTGTTTAAAAAAAATAATACAACAAAAATTTATCCAAACAAAATATACAATCAACAGCACTAGTAATTCCATAAATATTCATAAATTTAATGTATATCCAAATAGCATAATATAAAAAAAAATCATTTAAAAAGTCTGTTTAATTAATAAAATGGGATGAAATGAATTGAGAAGAGAGAGAGGGCTATCTCAAGTAGTATAATAAATAAATAAATAAATAAATAAATAATATATTAGGCAAGCCTGAGCTAAGGCCGAGCTTTTGAATTGGAGCCTGTGGTCTTTTTATTAAACGAGCTTTTATACAAGTCCAAACCTGGGTTCAACAATCAATTTTAGACATGTAAGCTCAGGCCTTCACGAGCCGAGCCAAAAGCCCCTGACTCGTTTAGCACCCCTACGTATAATTATATGTCATTACACATTAAACGTAAAAAATTATTAAATTAGATTGAAACTATTGTTTTGAGGGACTATTTGGTGGGTGAGATGATAGTTTTTGACAATGATATATAATCCCTCGTTGAAACTCTTACAAAAGAAGAGCCTCTACGACTCTGTTCACCAAATATAATAGACATGTTTAATCATAAAATAGTCAACTAGTACAAGATGCATGTTACTTCCAGATTCTAAACAAGTATAAATAACACAACAATCAATAAAATTCAAATAAAAAATAAATTACAAAATATTTGATAGGTAATGTTGATCCCTTTGTATCATCTTGTGTGCTACATGTATTGTGACTTATATGCATTAACTAATGCCATTTGGTTAGTTCCTTTTATGTATCTCCCAACTCCAACTTCTATTATCATCACCACCACCATATCCTTGATGGTATTCATCATTCAAAAATCCTCTTATACTTAAACCATGGTATCCATGTTTGAAAAGGGAAAGTCCATCAAGATTCTAGCATGCTGGCATGTTCTCTTCATGTTTCTTTGCTTCCTTCTAACACTGTCTGCCTCAACTGTTACTGTGAATGATCAAGTTACAACTGAAGATAGTGAAGCAAATGCTTTGTTAAAGTGGAAACACAGCCTTGAAAATCACAGCCAAGCTCTCTTATCAACTTGGGCAGGTACTAATAGTCCATGCAAATGGGAAGCAATTCAGTGTGACAAATCCAAGTCAGTCTCAACCATTAATCTTGCAAATTATGGACTGAAAGGTACACTCTTCTCTCTCAGTTTCTCCTCATTCCCCAACCTCCTCAGCCTAAATATCTACAACAACTCATTTTATGGAACCATACCCCCACAAGTTGGTAACATGTCCAAAGTTAATGTTCTGAACTTCTCTATAAATTCTTTTCACGGTTCTATTCCTAAAGAAATATGGACATTGAGGAGTTTGCATAGGCTTGATCTTTCCTTATGCCAACTAAATGGAGATATTCCTAATTCCATAGCAAACTTGTCCAACTTATCATATCTAGATTTGTCAAACAACAAATTTTCTGGCTACATTCCTCCTGAGGTTGGAAAATTGAACAACTTGGAGTATCTAGTTATTGGAGCTAATAAATTTTTTGGTTCCATTCCCCAAGAAATTGGAATGTTGACAAACCTTCAGCTCATTGATTTTTCATTGAACTCTCTCTCTGGTACCATCCCCAAAACAATTGGTAACATGAGCAATTTAAATCAACTTTACCTTCCTAATAACATCTTGTCTGGGCCAATTCCACTCTCCTTATGGAACATGTCTAACTTGTCATTGGCCTACATTAATCATAATAATCTTTCTGGATCAATTCCTGTTTCCATAGAAAACATGATTAATTTGGAACAACTTGCCCTTGATTACAACCAGCTTTCTGGATCCATTCCTTCCTCAGTTGGAAACTTGACAAAGCTCACTGTATTATACTTGGGGTTTAATAATTTTGCTGGATCAATTCCTGCTTCTATAGGAAACCTGAACAATTTGGATGCCCTCAATCTCCCAGGAAACAATCTATGTGGATCCATTCCTGCCAGTATTGGGAATTTGACAAGGCTCACTGTCCTTCAATTGGCCACCAACAAACTTAATGGTAGCATTCCAAAGGAGTTAAATAACTTTACCAACTGGAGTTCTTTTATAATATCTGAGAATGATCTCATTGGCCATTTGCCATCCCAAATCTGCTTTGGTGGGTCACTACAGGTCTTTGCTGCTAATAACAACCATTTAAGGGGTCCTGTACCAAGAAGCTTGAAGAACTGCTCTAGTATTGTTAGACTCAGGCTTGAGGGAAACCAAATGGAAGGAGATATAGCACAAGATTTTGGTGTATATCCAAATTTGAAGTATATTGATCTGAGTGACAACAAATTTTATGGCCACATTTCAACAAACTGGGGGAAGTGCATGAATCTTGATAGCTTCATGATATCCAACAATAATCTATCTGGTGGTATACCAGTAGAACTTGTTGGTGCAACCAAACTAGGAAGGCTTCACCTTTCATCCAATCACTTGACAGGAAAGGTTCCAAAGGAACTCTGGAATTTGAAAAGTTTAGTTGAACTCAAGATCAGCAACAATCATTTTTCAGGAAACATTCCCAGAGAAATAGGATTGCTACAGAATCTTCAACACTTGGATCTAGCAGGAAACCAGTTGAGTGGCACAATACCAAACCAAGTTGTGAGCTTATCCAATTTACTTGAGTTGAATTTGAGCAACAATAAAATAAATGGAAGCATTCCCTCTGAATTTGGCCAATTACAACCTCTTGAATCTGTTGATCTTAGTGGGAATTTATTGAGTGGAACAATACCAACAGTGCTTGGAGATTTGAAGCACTTGCAATGGTTGAATCTCTCACGCAATAATCTTTCTGGCACCATTCCATCCAGTTTTAACAGCATGTCAAGCTTGATTTCTGTCAACATATCATACAACCAGTTAGAAGGGCCACTTCCTGAAAATCAAGCCTTTCTTAAGGCTCCAATTGAATCATTAAAAAATAACAAAGGCTTGTGTGGAAATGTCACAGGCTTGGTTCTTTGCCCAACCAACCACAGTGGAAAGAGCAACAAAGTCATCCTATTGGTATTCCCTATTTTGGGAGCAATAATACTAATGTTTTGTGGGGTGGGAATTTCAATGTATATTCTTTGTAGAAGTAAAAGAAAGGAAGAAAGCCACTCTAGAGAAGTAGTACCCTTTTCCATATGGAGTTATGATGGGAAAATAATGTTTGAAAATATCATTGAAGCTACAGAGAATTTTCATGACAAATATCTAATTGGAATGGGAAGTCAAGGATATGTTTACAAGGCTATGTTACCAGCAGGCCTTGTTGTTGCTGTGAAAAAATTTCATTCGGTGACAGATGAGGAAGAGTCAAATTTCAGTTTAAAGGCTTTTAAAAGTGAGATTCAAACCTTGACAGAAATCAAACACAGGAACATTGTAAAGCTTCATGGTTTTTGTACTCATTTACGGTTCTCATTTTTGGTGTATGAGTTCTTGGAAGGGGGTAGCTTGGATCAAGTACTAATCAATGACACACAAGCAATTGCATTTGAGTGGAAAAAGAGGGTGAATGTTGTTAAAGGAGTGGCCAATGCTTTATCCTATATGCATCATGATTGTTCACCTCCTATAGTTCATCGTGACATATCAAGCAAGAATGTTCTTCTAGATCTTGAATATGAAGCTCATGTCTCTGACTTTGGGACTGCTAAGTTTCTGAAGCCTAGTTCAAGTAGTTGGACCCCATTTGCTGGTACCTTTGGATATGCTGCTCCAGGTTAGAATTTAGAAGTTAATTTTTACTTATTATTTTACTACATACTCCCTTGCTAAAATTAAAAATGTGTTACTCATGTGACATTAAAAAGAATGAAGTAAATGCAGTAAGTGAATCATATATTTATAGTTTTAGTTGATGCTTCATTCAGTACTACTAATAATTTATTATGAAGAAATGGAAATGATCACATTATTTTTATTTTACACCACTTTTTTTATTTTTATTTTTTCAAGAATGTTTCCACTTATTTGGATGAGACTAATTTCTTTTGTGGCATAAAGCACGAAGGTTTTGGCCACTAATTCCAAAGTGCTTCATCAAGGAATCAAACTAGAAACCTAAGCGAAACATATTGGGACTAGTGGCAAAAACCTTTGCGCTCTACTCTACGAAAGGAATTAGTCTCATCTAAACGAGTGGGGACACCCTGAAAAAAAAAAAAAATGATTTGCAAATATCAGAATTCATTTAAAAAATACAAGCATACTATATTTGATTTAATATTTGAAAGCCAAATTGCTTTATGCATAATATAACATTCAAATCTTTTAATTTTTTCTGCAGAGCTGGCCCAGACAATGGAAGTGACTGAGAAATGTGATGTTTATAGTTTTGGAGTACTTGCTTTGGAAATCATTATGGGAAAGCATCCAGGAGATCTTATTTCTTCATTTATGTCACCATCTACATCACCAATGGCTAATGATTTGCTATTGATTGATGTCATAGATCAAAGGCCTCCTCAACCTTTGGAACCAATTGATGGTGAGGTGATATTGATTACAAGGTTGGCATTTGCTTGCTTGAGTGAAAGTCCACGTTCTCGACCAAGCATGGATCAAGTATCTAAGGCACTTGTTATAGGAAAATCACCTTTAGTGGACCAGTTTCCCATGATTAGACTAGGACAACTATACTGAATCATATATAGTATTCAAGTGTTTTGCTTTGTTTTATTCTTTTGTGTAATGATTAACCTTGAATGCTGCAACATATTCTTCATCACTGTTATCCTTAGTTTACATGTCTCTATTACTCATGGCTTTGGATCCATTTTTTGAAGGGTCATTTTTCTTTACTTCCTGCAACTTTATTGGTTTTTCAGCATCTAGTGGCTTGACTTCATTGTCTTCCCTTTGACAATACATAATGACATATCTTCTAACACAACATTTTCTTAGAAGAAGCTTTATAGGCTCTTAACTTCTGCAATAGTCACAATAGCTTTTCAATTGGATAAAAATCTTCTCGTTCTTCACCTGAACACTCATCATCTAGTGCTTCAAAGCCTTCTGGATGCTCTTCCACTGATTCATGGCTGAATTTTTTTTTGGAACATATTAAGATATGCTGCAAGATCTTTAAGTGCACGATTTTTTTCTCATCTTTGTCATCAGGTTTAGAAAGCATCCATGTTAGAAAAGTTTGTAAAACAGAAAGAAAGAAAAAAACAATTTGGACTCATAAAACTCATAACAAGTGTTTTTTGAACAAGGTTGGGATTGAATGTATGAAGGGCAACAAGGAGAAGGGTTGAGGTGATGAAAAATCCGGAGAGAAAAGAGAGGAGCTTTAGGAGGTAAAGGGAGAAGAAGATTATAGTATTTAAAGTATAGAAATAAAAGAAGCAAGAGAATCAGTATTCGAAATAGAGTTAGTTTATAATGTAATCCAATTTTATATCTCAAGTTAACATGTTGCAAATCTTTGAGGTCTTAGTCCTTTCTGGTTTGAAAATTTGTGGCCTCATCATTGTTCCACATGTTTTACAATCAATTTGGTTGGAGGGAAGATTGTAGTGTTGACTCTGTTGAGAATTCAGAAATAAGACAAATTCATGATGAAGTTTATGACTTATTTACAATAAAGATTAGCTGAAGCAGTGGAACAAAGGGTTTTTGGATTGTTAGACCTAAGAAACTAGTGAATTTGCGGGAAATAGTAATTGAAAGTGGTTTATCAGATGATTGATATATTAGATTAGTTTCTTTTAATAATGATTTGGAGTAGGTAATACCAAAAAAGAAATATATTGGAGCTACAAATTATATGGGCTAAAGTTAATGTGTAGGCCAACTTTAGTTTCTTCCTTCAATTAGATCGTGGAAAAGGATGAAGAGTTTGATTAAGTAGTTGGAGGAGGAGGAAAGAAGGGTTGTTATGGACTCTTGGTCTATTACAGTAAAGGTCACTTATAGGTGCAGGGAATTGAAGTGTGGGTGATAAAAGTCCCACGTTAGAAAGGAATGAGCTAATTATACTACATATAAATGAAAGGATCCATAAATTTAATATTTTAAAGTTTTTGGTTGAAATATGGTATTAGAATCCCTTATTATGGGTTTATACAACTATAAACGAGGGAGTAATGCTCCATTAGTGTGGTGATTGTGAAATTATGAATGAAGGATAATTGCATTACTAGTTCTCAGTTACATAATTCAAAATTCAAGTCATCCATTTTACAACACTTTTCATTTTTTTCTTAATGCCAAGTCACTTAATCTTGAGGTTACTTATGAAAATCAAAATTGTTCGATCATAAAAGGATCGAGGTGTCCAATTAGAGATTGATAAGTTTCTCTGAGATGAAGGGGCTCACTCTGGCACCTATGGAAGAGATATCTTTGAGGATAACAGATCATTGTATACTATAAGAAGAGGCATAATCAGAGCGTAGGGGTGTGTGCACAACAGTGTTATAAGAACCGGATCGGATCGGCCGGTTCGAACCGGAAACCGGTAAACCGGTCATGTGACCGGTTCGGGTAGACTAACGGATCAGACATGCAAACAAACCAGTGTGACCCGGTGAGAACCATCCGGTTTTACTAAAATCGGTGACTCGCCGGGTCAAAAATAGACAACAGAAGGGAAGGGAAAGTGTCAGAGAAAATGGAACTTTGGCCACCAGGGATGGTGGAAATGACTTGGCGGGCAATGGAGTCCACCATGAAAGGCCACATTGCGGTACAGATGTCTTGCTAGATCTCCTGGTTTGTGCGGAGGCAAGCATTGCAGTGACGAGTGTAACACCCCGTTCTAGAATCGGTTTGTTAACATCTCATTATGATATTAAGCGCAGTTACAATCACATTGGGTAAATTAGAAATCTGAGTAAATTTTTCTTTTCAAACAAGTCGAATTTCAAATAACCAATTGCATGACCATAACCATATTACTTTGCGGAATAATTAAACTAAGCTTAACATCATATTCTCATTTTATTAGACCACATGTCGTTAAATGTCTACATCTCTTTTGTTATCAATTAATTCTATACTACGTTTATAGTTCTCACCTCCTACTATGTTATAGATCTCCTTGTTAGCTTCGAGTGGGTTCAAACCGCGCTCAAATCGGAGCTCTATAGTTCAAGTTATTCTAATTTTACTAAACTATGTTCATGCTATTTTCGGGATGAGCGCTTGAGCGTTTTAGCGCCCAAAGGCAGAAAGTTTAGCCTTCTGCAGGTCTCCAGAGCGTGTTAGCGCCCAACTTGAGCGTTTTAGCGCTCAAGGGCAGAAAGTTTAGCGTTCTGCAGGTCTCCATAACGTGTTAGCGCCCAACTTGAGCGTTTTAGCGCCCAAGGGCAGAAACTGGGCAAAACATGCCCTCCCCTGTTTTCATATGACTTCATGGGATATTTCCTCCCACTTTCACCACTTTCTTAACACCTAATAGACATTATACAACTTCAATACATGATTCTTTCAAGGTACTCATTTATCATAGAAACATGCATACCCTTTCATCATATACATATACCCAACAATTACAACATTACATCATTGCAACATGTCTTAATTACAAATCATGGGACTTAGCTACAAAACACTATGATCAACCCCTTGGCTCTCATCAACAAAAGAGGTACCAAAAGAGATGAGCATAGGCTAAGTCCATCAAAATAGAAGATGACATACATATAGCAATTGGCTTTCAAATGCAAATCCTATACATGGTATTACTACATGTCATGTATAATCCAAAAGAATGCATCATCTTCATGCATCTACTAATCCAAATATGGCCACTTGCCACCGGAGACTCCTACAACATCTTTACCTGAAAGGGGGTCCCCACAACACGGGGTGAGATATACGAATATATCACAGTAAACCAGGGGTCCTTGGAGCATCTCTCCACCCCATAGTTCAATCACAGGGTAATAGTAATAACAATAATAATGCAATAAATACATATTCATGCAGTGTGTAACAAACATCTCCAGGAGAAATCCCTCGAGCTCTCAAGTTGTCCTAAGGATACTCAGATGCAAATAGTCCTACTGGCCAGCTAAACTACCAAGTATGATTTACGCATCGTCATGCAACATACCAACATAGGGAAACACCATCCTATGCCATACCAAAGCATACACATACGTATAACAAAGCATTAAACTATTTCATTGCATTTATAAACACTATCACAACCACTACCCAATCAGGGCTTGGTGGAACAATCAAGAGAATTACACCCAAGGTCCGAAGGCTTACCTCAAAGCTTCAGTTCAACCTTTGTTCACCAACAAGTTTTGCCACCAATTACAATAATCACTTTTACAAACAACCACCTACACAAGGTGTAATGCAATCAACATATTGCATTCAAGAATATCTTATAATTATCAACCAAACTATCCAATTCGTACCACAACAAAAGCATGGACTTACCTATTCCAATGAGCTAATCAAGCTCCATAGCTTGCTCCAATGGTTGGTCACTCAAGATTGGTCCAAATGCCTCAATCCTAGACATAACATGGACCCACCATCAATATTCAACCAAACCAAACCATTGATTTCTAATGCATGAAAGTCCAACATCAAGCATTAAACCTTGCAATTTTCAAAGCATAAAAATGACTAACGAAGCTCATTTTCACCGATTAAATGTCATTACTAACATTTTTCATAACATTCACCAAGTCTCAATCCTCCTAGAACATAGCCAATCTATCAACATTTTCATAAAACCCTAAACACTATTCATCATCTTCTCCAATCATGCAATTTCCATGAAAGTAAGGTTCAAGGAGTAGAATCTTACCACCAATGGTTGCACAATCAAGGAGTGATGGTTCCTCAAGCTTCCAAGGAGCCAAATGTTCCCCAAACCCCTTCAACCTTCAAAGGGTCAGATTTTTGAGAGAGAAAATCTCACAACACAAAGATCCCCACAACAAACCTAGCTTGGATTCAAGAAGAGAGAAGGATTTAGAGTGGTTTAGGCTTTTGAATGGATGATTTTGGTCAAGGTTTGCAACATCTAGGGCTTTCCGCTCACCTTTCTCTCTTCTCCCTCTCTTCTCCTTCTTTTCTTCCCTTCTTTTCTTTCTTCTTCTGTCGACGGGAATGGGAGGGACAATGGGTCTTTTTTTTTTTTTTTTAAATCACTTAACATTAGTTAAGTTGTTTTGAACGGGTATCAGCTCATCTATCTATTTAACTCCATTAATTACCAAACTTTACCCAAAAGTCTGGAATATTTTTCTAGGAATATTTTCACTTTTATTTTTATATTTTGGGTACTTTTGCCTATACCCATTTATACCCTTTAATTCTCACTGAGTACACCTTTTACCTCAAAAGTGACCCTAATTGATTTAATTAGGCACTATACTTAATTTTACTTACTAATTCATGCTTAATTATTTAATCACGTTTAATTTACTAATTAATTAGGATAAAGCTATTATAACGAGACGAGCGAGGGAGTTTAACAATGGTGAAGAAGGAGTTTAACGATGGTAAAGGAGAAGAACATAAGATAAACAAACATAGCGTGAAAAGAAGGAAGCATGTGAGATGTGAAATGAGTTTGTATAGGATTGCATTTATTATTTTGTCTTGGAAAGTGAAATATACAGGATTGCATTTATGATCTTGTCTTGAATGAATAGTTTGTTAAGTGA